TCTTACCTACTCTAGAGACTCAGGCAGGAGGCTCAGGCAGAAATTTGCTACATGGCAAATTCCCAGCCAGTGTGTGGTAAACAGTAAGACCCTGACTTAAAATATCCATGCAAAAAAAAAGTGTATGGTAATTTTTGTGAAGCTAGGATTTCAGATATTCAAAGTAATTTTCAGCTGGGCTATGGCTCATGCATTTACTTTGGGCCCAACCTTTGAGAGGCAGAGGCAGGCAGAATCTCTTGAGTTCAAGGACAGCCAGGGCTGTACAGAGAAACTTTGGCTTAAAAAAAAAAAGAAAAAGAAAAGGTAACTAATTAAATATTTTGGTTGATGTTTTGTTTTTTTGAGATAGGGTTTCTCATAACATTTCTTGTAGTCTTGGAACTCACTTCCTAGAGCAGGCCTGCCTCTACCTCCCAAGTGCTGGGATTTAAGTCCTGCACCGCCCAGGACTAAAAGTAATTTTAAGTCGTTTCTTTGTCTTTGTGAGCTTAGTTTGTGTTTTATGTTTTTCAGGGAAGATTACTTTGCAAAGAAAAATGAAGAAAGAAAGCAGAGCAAAGTGGAGGCTAAATTAAAAGCTAAACAGTAAGTCTGTTAAATTCATGTGACACATTTGAATTTAATGCTTTAACAAGTTTAGCCAGTGGTTCTGGGATGAGCTGATGATGAGCTTTGAGATTGGTGGTAATGGGTCTCTCTTTATTCGTAGTGAAATATTGGTCTTAATTTACCTTGATAACATGAAAGCCATATTGCTGGTATTGTATGATCAAAAAACTCTAAAGACTTGCTTTGATGATTAAGTGGGTTGATTCTTAATGTAGTTAAGTTTAAACATGTTATAATCATGACACATTTATTTTTAGGGAACATGAAGGAAGACACAAGTCAGGAAGTACTGAAACAGTAAGTATTAATATCTAATACATGGGAGAATTTAAGTTAGAATGTCTTTTTGAGATGGTGTGTGTGAGCTCGAGAGCGCGCGCGCCATTGTGAGGAGGTATGCAGATAGCTTGTCAGTTATTTCTTTCCCCCATGTGGATCCCAGGGATTGCACCCAGGTTGTCAGGCTTGGCATCCAGCACCTTTGCCTGCTGGCCCCTCAATTTTATTTATCCAGAGATAAGTTTTTACCATGTTAATCTAGCTGCCTCAGAATTGGCTTTGTAGACCAGTTAGGCCTCAAACTTGAAGGGATCAATCTGTTTCTGCCTCCCAATTGCTGGGATTAAAGGCATGCACCATCATACTCTGCTAAAATAACTTGTTTAAATGTTTTTTCTATTTTCTATTTTAAAATAAATTATTTATTTTATATCCCATCTGCAGTTTCCCCTCTCTTCCCAGTCTCTCCCCCTGTTCCCTCTTTGCTCCTGCCCCCCAATTAACTCCTCCCTTTTCTGTTAGGAAAGGGCAAGTCTCCTAGGAGTATCAATAAAACATTGCATATCAAGTTGCAGTAAGATTAAGCACCTCCCCATGTATTAAGGTTGGTCAAAGTGACCTGTAAAAGAATTAGAGATAGCTGGGTGGTAGTAGTGCACACTGTTAATCCCAGCATTTGGGAGGCAGATAGGGGTGGATCTCTAAGTTCTAGGCCAGCCTGTTCTACAGACTGAATTCCAAGACAGCTGGGGCTGTCTCTATCCCCCCCCCCCAAAAAAAAAAAAGGTCAGAGACAACCCTTGTTCCCATTAACAGGAGTCCTACAAGAGGACCAAGATATACAATTGTAACATATATGCATCATGCCTAGGTCAGTTCCATGTAGGCTCCCTAGTTGTTGGCTCAATCTCTCTGAGCCCCAATGAACCATAAACATACATATATTTAATTTTGTGTATATGTTAGGTACTCTTGGAGGCTAGAAGAGGGTGTCCGATCCTCCAAAGTTAGAGTTACATGTTTGAGTGACACAGTGGGTGCTAGGAACTGAACTTAAGTCTTTGAAAGAGCAGTAAGTACTTTTAACTATTGAACGGCCTCTCTGGTTCCTTCTCTATTTGTTTATTATGTTGCGTGCCAACCACAGTTTCTCCCATCCTCTCTCCCCACCTCCTTTCTATCCCTTCCTCATCCACTTCTCAGGTAAGGCCTCTCAGGGGAGTCAACAAGGCATGGCATATCAAGTTGAGGCAGGACCAAGCTCCTCCCCCTTGCATCAAGGTGGGACCGGGCATCCCACCATAAGGAATAGGTTCCTAAGAGCCAGCTCATGCATCAAGGATAGTTCCTGGTCCCACTGCTAGGGGCCCCACAAAAGACCAAGCTACACAAATGTCACCCAAATGCAGAGAGCCTAGGTGGGTCCCCTGCTGGCTCACTGTCGAGCCTGTGAGCTCCCAGAAAACTCAGGTCAGCTGTTTTTGTGTTTCTCCATTCTGATCTTGACACCCCCACACCCTTACTCATATAATTCCTCTATCCTCTTCAACTGAACTCTGAGTTCTGCCCAGTTCTTGGCTGTGGATCTCTGCATCTACTTCCATCAGTTACTAGATGAAGATTCTTTGATGGCAATTAGGATAGTCACCAGTCTGATTACAGGGGAAGGCCAATTCAAGTACTACTTTTTTCTCTACTCTTGCTAGGAGTTTTAGTTGGGGTCATCCTTGTGGGTTCCTGGGAGTTTCCCTGGCACTGAGAATAAATAGTTTTTTGTTTTGTTTTGTTTTAGATTAGTTTTTTTAATTTTTGTGTGTGTGTGAGAATGTTTTGTCATGTGTTCTGGGGTGGGCAGAAAAGGGTGCAAGGTCCCCTGGACCTGGAGTTACAAGTGATTGTGAACCATCTAAACTGGTAACTGAACTTGGGTTGACAGGACGAGTGGGAAGTGCTCTTAACCCGAGTGCTCCCTCTCCGTTCCCCTAGAATGAGGGTTTTTTGTTTGTTTGTTTTTAAGACAAGGGTTTCTTTATATACAGCTTTTGGAGCCTGTCCTTGAACACAAAGATCTACCTGCCTCTGCCTCCCAGACCTGTGCCACCACAGCCCGGCTAGAATGAGTTTTTAAAGTATGAGAACTTGTGGGTGCGTGGGTTGATTGTTGGGAATGGACATGTAGTGCCCATACCAAGTATTATCACTTAGGCCTCTAGCCATGTATGAGGGCTTCTTAGAGAATGTGTGATTCTACCAATGTCAATTGCATTAGTTATACACAAATAATATTGTCTGGGATTGTTGCTTATTAGAAGATAGTTAAACTCGCCTATAGAAGAAACTTAATAAAATAAAGCCATTGTAAAACAGGGTGGCAATGAAAAATATACTGTTACACTGTACTAAAATAGCACTGACTTCTCTTTATTCCTGATGTAGGTATAGAATGATGTGTAGCCATTTTGGTTAGGTTGCTCTTAAGGGAACCGTTTGATGGCCTTGTATTATTTTTACAGCGACCTCTAGAAGGAAAGATGGGATGCTTACTGAAGTTTTCAGGTGACTTGGATGACCAGACCTGTAGAGAAGATTTACACATCCTGTTTTCAAATCACGGTGAAATAAAATGGATTGACTTTGTCAGGGGAGCAAAAGAGGTTTGTGAACATCTTTGTCATTATTAGTCTATTAGTCTAAAGAACATTCTGTTAGAAGAAGAAATTGCTAGGAAGCAGTCTTTCTTTAAAACAAATTATAAGAAAGTAATTTATATGCCGGGCGTTGGTGGTGCACGCCTTTAATCCCAGCACTTGGGAGGCAGAGGCAGGTGGATCTCTGAGTTCGAAGCCCTCCTGGTCTCCAGAGCGAGTGCCAGGATAGGCTCCAAAGCTACACAGAGAAACCCTGTCTCAAAAAAAAAAAGTAATTTATAAAGCATGTTGATTAAAATAGTTAACTACTTAGTCATTTACTTTTGTCTTTAAGTCCTTTTACTGGGTGTGATGACTTTTTTTGTTTGCATGTTAAATGGGTAATGTACTGAACTTGTAACAAGATTTGTAGGAGGCACAAGTAATGAAAAGGCTTGATGAACCAAAAAAAAAAATCCTTTTGGGTGGGTGGGAGGGTAATAGTATAAATAACTTGGTATTGATGACTGGAGTTTACTTTTAAAGCATTCCTTCATAATATTCAGTAAGATATATTGAAAATAGCAATAATAGATATGCTGGGGTTGGGGAATAGCTTTGAGTAAAGAGTTGTCAGACTAAAAACTGGAGTGAAACATTTTTCTCTTTGTGTAGGGAATAATTCTCTTTAAAGAAAAAGCTAAGGAAGCACTTGAGAAAGCCAGAAGTGCTCATAATGGTAACCTACAATTAAGGAACAAAAAGGTGACTTGGAAAGTACTAGAAGGCCATGCAGAAAAAGACGCAATGAAAAAAATCATGGAGGATCAGCAAGAATCACTAAACAAATGGAAGTCAAAAGGAGGAGGAGGAGGAGGTCATTATTCTACTTTTTCATTAATAGTTGCTTTACCTCATCTTTGCTTGAGAAAAATCTTAGTTTTCAGCAGACTTAGAATTTTTGACTAAGTTCTCGATTGTGTTTCTACAGGCCGAAGATTTAAAGGAAAAGGAAAGGGGAACAGACCTCCCTATGGTGGGGCACCCAAAGGAAGAGGACAGTTTCAGGGAAGGAGAACAAGATTCGATGATGATGATCACCATCATCATCGACGAGGTAAGTCTTCCTCAAATCCTCTGGGGGTGGTCTCTGTAATTGATAAGACATTATTTCTCTGTGTAAGTGATAGTCTTGATTACTCTATGCTGTTTCACAGATGAGAGGTTGGTTGAAAGATAACTTCTTTAAAGGATAGAAAGGCTGTGTACTCAAGGAAAAGCCTTTTCTCCCTGCTAATTTTTTTTTTTTTTTAAGGAAGCTACTATTAGTAATTGTAGTCAATATTAATAGAGTAGTGTTTACATTGATTTTAACAAATTATTTGTGATCATATAGGACCAATGAAAAGAGGAAGAGACGGAAGAGACAGAGAAGAACCTGCATCAAAGCATAAGAAAAGAGAGAACGGTGCTAGAGACAAGTAGTTTAGTAAGCAATGTTTTTATTCATCTTAGTTAGATTTTAAGCTGCTTTTTGTCTTCGGAAGCTTTTAAAAAGAAAAGCGAATTAGGTCCACTTCAATGTCCACCTGTATAAAAGAAAAAAATTTGTTTTACTTGTCTTTTTTTTTCCTTGTTGTTGTTACCCAAATGAAAGTTTTTTAAAATGTATAGTTCTGTTTGTGTTTGGATGATTCAAATATGAAAAGGAAGATTCTTCCTCTTAATTGCCTTTGTAATATGAGAATGTATTAGTACAAACTTGTAAAATATATGCTGTATAAAAATAGCCAACTGTTTATTTTTTCCTTTTTTTGCTCTTAAATCTTTTCACAAAGAACTTCAACTAGAATATTGACTGCTTTGAGTATGGGCCCTTTCCAGTTAACTTATCTAGTCTCTCAGGCTGGCTTCCTATTTACCCATGCAACTTGCTAAAAGTGGAAAGAACTATTGCAAAGCTTTTTGAATACTAAATGTACACAGGCCACATTTGGGAAACTTACTGATTTCTTTTTATGAAAGTTGTATAATGCTGGCAGGTCATATCGAAGCTCTGTAAAACAAGCCAAACATTCACTTTTAAAGTATTAAATGCTGGTATGCATAACATTTTACATTCATCACTTTGGACATATCCTCATATACTTATGTGTCAAGTTGTGCATGGTGTTCCTGCTGTTTTGATTACATGTCAAAATTTGAGGTTATAGAGAATAGTTAAAAGAATTAACAAGTGGAAAGAAAAGTTCTATGAAATATGTATCTATAGCTGATGATATTTTACTGTCCACATTTTAATAATGTTTACTCCTAGTTATTTTTTCCACTAACAAAATGAAGGCTCATTTTTTCACATTTCTTTCTAATAAGATAAATTCTCTGTACTTTCACTATCGACCAGTGGTATCTTTTATAACTTCCAATGTAATTCTAACCCTATAGGTCATAGCTCTCTATGTGATCAAGTCATCTGGGAATCTTGTTTAGCTGCCAACTAATTCTGTCTGTGTAGGCTCAGGGTTGTTAGAGCTAATGGTCTGACTTGTTATGCATACTATTGGGACTATAATAAAGTGCTCTGTATTGAGTTCTGTTACAGAAATTATGTAAGGGATGACAGCACCTAATAGGAAGATAAACAGGTCTTTATGAACAGTTTAGGTAGATACTTTAACACCATAGGACCAATTCATGGTAAACTCATGGCTAGGCATGTGCCTTTAATCCCAGGACTGGGAAGCAGAGGCAGGTAAGGCCTAGTCTACATAGTACTAGGACAGCCAGATATACATGAGAAACCATGCCTCCAAACAAATGTTTTATTCCACAGTTCCCCCATTTTCTCTGGTGTACGCTAAGCAAGCACACTACTACACCCCAGTCTTTTTTTTTTTTTTTTTTTTTTTTTTTTTTTTCAGAACGGGTTTTTTTTGCTTTT